TGGTATAAGTATCCTCTCCCTTCGATATTTCGTAGGAAGGTTAATCTCTGCGCATACACTAATGGCATATATGTATAATATTGACTTTGAAGTTTCTTTCGAAGACCACTACCTTGTGCATATCATCTCTGGGGAACAGCATTATTTGCAGCTTGTGATTGTTCCTGGAGTATAGGATCTTACCTTTGCCAAAACCCTGTCTCGTAAAGTTTAAGGGAGTTCGCTTCGCCTCCTGTTCAATTGCAATATGCAGTGCCTCCAGTTCAAGGACTACTTCAAGCGCTGCCGTCGGACATATGCGCATAGCCCCGTGATACAAACACACACCAGACGTGTAATCTTGTCGAGAGACTGCCTGGCCGTTGCCAGAGTACCCCGGGTCTTCAACGCGACTCGCTTTCACACCATCAGCGCCCTTGTAGCCATGGAAATGGTCGCCTTTTAAGAATAAAGGGTATTAGTGTGATTTCGTACTTTAACTTACCTTTGCTCGGCCAGCAATAGAAACTTTATGAGCCACGAAAAATATGTTATTACTACATATTTATGCAAATATTTTATTTATTTTCTCATTTCAAAATATGCATGCAGCCCCTCATTCAAACACGTTACATACGCATTTATGGATATTTTAAATATAAGTACATTTATATATATTATATATATTTATATATATTTAATGTACTATCAGGCAGGTTCTGCAATTCACTTCTGAGTGAATTTCAATTTGGATTCAAAGTGGCATGGGTTGAATTCACTGCCTGTATATGTTCCACTTATGTACATCATTTTGTGTATAAAAATCATATTACAATGAATATCATAAAATAGTACAGGTAAAGGTAAAAGTCTCGAAACCAAAATTTAAAATTTATAATAAAAATATTACTTGTAAAGGGATATCGATAAGCTAACGTCATGACGGTGAATGCTTAGATTAATGGCGATTTCGTTTCTACAAAAAATGTTGGCTTCTCATCGCCCTCTTCTAAGTGTTTGTGCGTAGAGGGCAAGGAGAAGATTGCATTCTTGTTATTAAGTAGATTTGCAAACTCTGACGATGTGTAGTAAAGTATTTGAATATTATGGTGATTTCGCTTCTACCAAAAAATGTCGCCTTTTGATTGCCTTTTCTTCTTTTCGTATTCGATTCTAAATTAAAGGCAAATGGGTGGGAAAATTTTGCCCTGAAAATCAGAACGTTGTTTAAAACGACAGTATTATGAAATGCGTGAACTAGACAAGGAAAAGCAAAAGTGTAAATGAGTGTAACATCAAACACTTTTCGCACCGGTGGAGGGCAACAGTTTTTGGAAGAAACGAAATCACCATTAGTCTCTTGACTTGTATTCATTAACATTGCCATCATTTTTAATGATTTCATAAATAAAGTGAAGCCTAATTTAGTTCGAGTAAAAGAGAATGATTGCCGTGGTGGGCATTTGAACTAGTCATTTTGGTTGTTTTCTTTTTGTTAGGAACTTGTAGTTTCCTCACTTTTCCAAAAAAAAATGCAATTAGCTTAAAACTGCTAAAATTTCCGAATATCTGATTCTTAAAAAAATGCGTTATGTGCATATGTATTGTTCTACAATAAAGCATAATCACAATGTTGTAAGCTTAAAAATGCTGCATTCTAAGTTTAAGTCTAGTATCTAGTTGTTTAATTGCATATTGTCCGAATGCCGACGGGCTTAACCAACAACTATACAACTCGTGGCTTCTACTACTTTACGCTGCTTTATGTTTGAATACATATATCGTCGTTTAAAAGTACAAAACCGCATATCGTCATTCTGCAAAACCGTGTAACTGACATTGGCTGCCAAAAATTTGATTTGCACACACAAGCTGTTGGCTCCATCCTTATCCATTCGTCCTGAAATGTACTAGCCAGAAATGCGATTACTTTATAAAAAAGAGAACCATTTGGAAATATGAGTGTTTTTACTCTCTAGAAAATAATTTCTACAACTTCACATGCGCGGTTTTGCACTTTAAACGACGATATGTATGTACGTTGCATGCAATATATGTTTGTATGTGTATGTATGTACTTTGGTGTCTCAAATCGAACTTCCAAGTACAGGTCATCTCTTCTTGGCATTAAAAATCTTAAACTATTAATTTTGTTTTTTGCTTCTTTGATTAATATCGATAGATGTTGGTGCTTTGTTCATGTTAAAATACTAGTCACATTCGTTAGACGCAGAAATTGAACGCTAAAAAGTCGAAATATGGGATGCATTTTTTATGGACGTATAACCGGACATTTTTCTACGACTAGCAAAAATTTGATTTGCTGACCGACGAAACTGGTTGTGTTTGCATACAATTTAAAACGCAGTTAAACAGTAGCCATGTACATTGACTGCAGATACCCAGAAGGACCATGCAAAATGTGGTTGCCTAAGAATGCCTTTTAGGGTACTGGTTTTTTCACGAGAAATTCGAAGCACATTTAACTTCTGTGGGAAAAATTAGAAAAAATCTTCATGAAGAAATAATTACATTACTTTTTCACTGACATGGAAGGCTAAAAATCTGAATAATAAGGCTATCACTGATTCTATCGCAGCCCAGCTTTTGGTGAAATCTTCGAAAATATCACCCGTATACAATGAAGAAAGTTTTAAATACATCGAAATAAATAGAACAATAGCCCCGAATATATATATTTTTTTTTGTGACTTCTTTGAATTAATGATCAAGCAACATTTTTCATTCATTCTCTTAATGCAGGTAATAGCTGACAAAATATATTTTTGGCCATATTTTCTGTTGTTTTTCTCAACTATCGGGATCTCCTCCAATTCTATTTTACTTTTTCTCAGTATCCAAAATGCATTATATATGGAGAGAAAAATGCAAGAGTTGAATTGTATACAAAATCTAATTGTCAATAGAATTCTTAATAAGGACAATTTCATTATATAAAAGTTCCCCATAGAGAAGTTCGACTGTATACGTATCGTACAGAACTGAATATTCAGCCGTATTGTTATCGTCGTCGACAGGTTGAAATCGGTATTAGTGTTGTCGTGTTCGATAATAATTGACACAAATTTGATATTGGCCAAGCGGAATCGGCGTCGATAAAATGTTCAAACGATAAAATTTTGGTCGACACTCGTATGTGTATTTTTATTTTGATAAGAAATAATAAAATTGTGTGTGTTTATTCTAATGAGTGGATAAGGACTGCAAGTAAAAAAAAACAATCAGGGCTCGAATCGTAACATGCGATATCGTACTCGTCACGCAAAACCCACGACAACGGTGAACATCCTCTTTGTCCCATTCAGCTGACGTATCACGTAATTTTCTTTGCTATCGTTTTCGATCCGTGAACGGATGTTACGATTCGAGCCCAGGGCTCTCACTGAATCAATGGTAGTCCGATTTTGCGTGAAATCTACGAAAATGCTATCACTGAATCCGAATGGTTACCAACGTAGCAAATACTTTAAATGTCGTTTATCTACTACTAGTCGACACTCACAATAGGGGCGAGTGATCGCACTCACGGAAATCTTAGGGCGGTATTGTCACTTGCGAAGCGAATGAATTTGGCGAAGCGAATGGATTGGCGGACGCAACTTAAATATATATTAAGAGTGTTCTCTTTTACCAGCTTGTGCAAGTTCGTTGCATCGCGAACACTTTTAATACCTTCTCTTCCTTTTAATTCGCTTCTCCAAACCGTTCGCTTCGCCAAAATCATTCGCTTCGCAAGTGATAATACCACCCTTAATACGAAGGATACGGCGATACCACAGCATGAAAATTAAAAATTCACAATAAAGCTTTCTGCGACAGTAAGCGTTCCGAACAAAACTGGAGAGTTAACAGAAAGGGTTTCTGATTAAATTCCAATACCTAAATCACAAAGTTCGCTGCTAATTTTTATGGTATTGGAAAACGACTTTTACTGGTATCCACATAACATTTTCATTGTTAAGTGGACATTCGCTTGTGCACACTTCTCGGTCTTGCTCTTAATATGTATGTATTTATGAAACTTAAATTGAAACAGTAATTTACATTTTTATTTGATTCTCACTGGTTTCATGTTATGACATGTATGTCTGTCAAATCAAGCGAAAACAATCGTAAAATGATCGATAAACAGTCGACGCCATCTCGACGACGAAGAGTAATACCGACAAAAAAGTGATGTTAACGAAAAAAAAAACAAATAAAGTGCTTTCGACATTCTTGCAATGAAACTCGTTCTTAAATGATAATCGAAAGTTATACTTTTTCGAAATAAGTGGACATCTGCGTCTATAAGAAATATATAAATTATCTACAATTACTTTTGTTTCGTTCATCTTTATTTTATTTGGAGACTCATTGCTTACTTTTTCAGCTTTATAATTATGTTTTCAATATGTATATAGGCTGTTACGATCCTGCTTAGTTACGATAAGGTAACACTATTCTTAATGTTTTTGATTTATTTTTTTGGGTGATAACACTTCGACGCTTAGACTTTCGATTTCGTTCACCACTTGAGCCAGCATGCAATTGTGTTTTATAATTTTCAATTATGTACTACTATTTTTTTGTTAACTAATCTTCAACTATCAAGAACAAGATTATCGATAATTTATGAAATACAATGTTCGCATTTTTTATTTCCTCAAGCATATATATGTTTATGTAAGTATGTTGTTTATGTTTTAAATATTTAGACGATTGCTTATTCAATAACTACTTTCAATATTACAAAAGTTAATATATGTATGTATGTAATTGTGTATAAAGAGTTTTCCGTTTAGAACAGTACAATAAAACTTTTTATGGTAAGAACATTTGGTGTTACTTCTACACTTTTTATTCGATACTAAAATTACATTCTAAGAGTTAGAATTACATATTTTTTAAATAAAACTACTTACATATATGTACAGAGAACGGCCTTTTATTAAAACTAGAACTAAAGTAATTACTTAAAAAACTGCTATAAAATATCTTACACTCATAGCATTTTCTTTTCCACTATAATATACCATAGATTTTCTTGTTCATTAAGTATGTATTTATATTAATAGTATAGTAAAAATATACAAAATACAACAAACAAGGCCGAAAGGCATTTCAATTTCTCTATACCTACATTATCGCCTTAAACTTAGTATTCCATCTATAAACTTTTATATGTAATGTGCGTTTACTTCTACATATAATGAAAATATGTTTTTACGTATGTATTTATAGTTACATACTTACACATGTACGTAGTTGAAAAATCATTCAGTAAAATTTAAGATGGTTCAAACTGGCAAAATATACGTACATACGATTAACCCTCTCAGAGCTGATTATGATTGCACATGCGGTTGTCTATTCGTTTACTTCCAAAATTTGAGCACCCATTAAAATGTCGGTGCTTATTAGGCATCTTCTCAAAAAAAAAAATACATACAGCGTATTTTCAACTTTAAATTGCTCAGTACAAGTAAAATAAAAAAAATAAAGGTTTAATGACACATTCCGCGCTCGCCGTTGGTAAAATGTTCAAATGAACGTTACGTTACGTTAATCCAAACAAACTGATCTCAAGAAAGGAATCAGTTGCCAGCACTCAAAATTACTTTACTGCCGATTGACTTTAATCTACTTCGATTTCCACAGAAAATTGATAGGTTTAGGTTATCAATTATCAGTCGTTAACATATCTGCTTAGAAGTGCATATTCGAAGCCCTGCTAAAAAATCGCTTAAGTTATCCGTTGCTGCTTCATTCTCTGTCGAGAACTTATTGGTCAATTTTTACATATACCGGCATTTGCAGTCGACGCGTTTATAGTTGCTGCGCCGCTTGCTTTAATAATATTTCCATTGTTTTGCCGCCGACACTACCTAAATTATTATATTTCGTATGGCCAGTTGTTTTCAAAGAATAATCTTCTGATTCATATTAGTTGTTGTATTGTGATGTGTTGCATTTGCTGTTGATGATGCTGCTGCAGCAGAGCATTGTTATGACTGATTAGATGATGTGCGGCACTATTCGGGATCGTGTGCAGCATATTATTTGGATTATTGCTACCTGTAGCAATTAAATTAACTCCCACACTCGATGATTGCAATTTTTTTAGTCAAACTCACTGTCGCACTTGTCACCGCCCAACTCCACCCAAGTGATGGGTCGGAGCTGGTGTTATAGTAACCGTGCTTGGCGCAAGCGCATTCATAGCAGCGGTTTGTGACGAAGCAGCTAAAGAAGAAGCGGGCACAGATCGTTGTCACACCATTCTCATGTTGTATTGTATTGCTATTATAGATTGTACGAGACGGAAGTGTTGTGTGTCGTTGTCGTCTTGATGTGAGATCCCAAATTGCTACTAACTGTACTGCCGACCGATATGGTCGATATAGATGAGGGGCTAACTTGCGAAATTTTTAAAGATGTCGTCGACGTTCCAAGACGCGCTGCTGCCTACAATAAATAAAAAACTTTATAAATAAATTTATGTCATAGTTTGCAGAAAGGATTTTGCGTACATTATTTGATGAGTGTTGTTGGTAGTGGTGCATGATACTGGAATTGGAAGTTGCCATCATTGACATTTGCTGTTTGCGATTTTGCAATAACTTTGCTGCTACCTCGTTGCCGGTCAGCATTAAATTCTGGTGTTGTCCATGTATTTGAACTCCGCTTGCAAGGAACATAGTATGCACATTGCCCATCGGTGCACGAGCTGCTAGTTTTTTTTCAGTATCCTCCTGCTAAAACAACGATATTATTAAAATACCATGATAACTTTTAATATATACATATCAGGCATGTTCCAGGATTCTACTCTATTTACACTTTTTTCCTATTTTGGCAAATCGGCGCGATTGGTCTTCATTTACAAAAACAAAAAAAAACAAAAAAACGGATCTTCCCGCTTATGACAATTTTATGTTGGGAGCGAAGTTGCCGATCTTGCAGCAACTCGACACCAGTCGCCTGTATAAATAGGGCCATAATGGCATAATTGGTGGTATACATTTTTTGTAAAGTACAAACAAACACGTTTGTATTAGTCGAGTAATTCTTCCGACAGGATGGGAAGATGATGTATTTTGGAACCGATCTCAGTCATCCCTTGTAAAGTTTGGTTTGGAGATATGTCGGTTTGGGCGTTGTATATGTATATAAAGTAATTGTTTAAGTACTAAAAGAGGCATACATAGGGTGTATTCGAGCTGCAATTATTGCGGCAGTGTTTACGCTCTACGCGAAAGAGTGGGCGACTCTGCCGTCAACAAAAGATCGCATTTGCGGCTTTAGCAGTAAGGATTATCAGCTGATCTACACAAGAGATAAAGGTAAACCAAGGTCTTGCTTATTAGTAAAGGAAAATATTATGTCACAATTCAGCGATGCTGACATGCATGTGTCCCAAAACAAAAATGAGAAAGCAACGACCACCATGGTGGTCGCACGAAATAATGAACCTACGGAAGGAAAGCAAGATGAAATTTAATCAAGCGTCAAATGTGTGGAATGAATACAAGGACTGCCAACGCAGATTTAAATATGTTGTCAGGGCTGCAAAACGCTCCTCCTGGGAAAATGGGATCGGGTCAAAAACTCTGAACTAGGAGACGCCTCCGTCAGAAAAGTACGCGGCAAGGGGAACTCCCCAGGGGGGTGTACTCTTACCACTACTTTGGAACATTGCCGTTGATAGTTTGCTAAAAGAAATAAAAAGAAACGGTGGCAGAGTGGTAGCCCACGCCGATGATATTGCCATTACGGCTACAGGTAAACATTTAGCAACCCAGACTAACCTTATTCAAGGTATACTAAACAGATAACAGGAGCCATGAAAACAACAGCCACAAAAGCGCTCAACACGCTGCTAGCATTTCTCCCGACGGATCTATATGNTAGTACCGCCATTAGGCTCACCGCGACCAATAAAGGGACGCATCACACAGTCAGGAAAAGCGGATCCATCCATGTCAACACGGACGGATCGAAGCTCAAAAAAAGAGTAGATGTCTATTCGGAACAGTTAGGCATATCATTCAGTTTCCGCCTCCCTGATTACTGCAGTGTTTTTCAGGCGGAACTGATGGCTA